ATCTTGATGTGGATATGTTTATGAGAAATATGAATCTCTTCACAATTACAGGGGAAAGTAATGGAAGGACAGAAATGATATCTTACACCCGTTAGGTAACACACAAAAAAAATCAAGAACTCAAAAATGAAAAAATATATACATTTCCTGTCGTATTCGCCTGACGCTAGCCCATAATAAAGGTCAAATGTTGATTATATGTAACTGTCACTTAATTTTCGAAAATGATTAATTTCTCCTGTTACACACCTATCAACATGATGGAATGGCATCCTCGGTGAAATGCGACATAAACTTGAATTTCCGTCATTTAGAGATTCCATTGTAGATTTCTCTCTCACTAAACCTCCACCTAGCTATTCCCACTCCGTAACTTCACTTTTTTATCCCTTCCCCTACCTTCACTCTAACTTACCATCCCCCCCACCTCCACTCTAACTTACCTCCTTCCCCCATACCTTTACTCTAACTTATCCTTTCCCACACATTCACTCTAACTTCCCCCATACCCTCAATCTACCTTTCCTTTCTCCTATCCCCTATCCTACCTATCAATTTTTAAGGCTACTTAAATCTCAACATTCTACTTTTTAGTTATGTTTTTAATGAGAAAACTTGAAGTATGAGATCATATTAAATATGAAAAAGTCTGATAGATTCCATTATATACCAAAAAACATTAAATACATAAAAAGGTCTTCAAAAAGATCATTCAATAACTTACATTCAACAGAAAGAAAGAAAGAAAGATAGAGAGAGAGGGGAGGAGAGAGAGAGAGAGAGAGAGAGAGAGAGAGAGAGAGAGAGAGAGAGAGAGAGAGAGAGAGAGAGAGAGAGAGAGAGAGAGAGAGAGAGAGAGAGAGAGAGAGAGAGAGAGAGAGAGAGATCATATTAAATATGAAAAAGTCTGATAGATTCCGTTATATACCAAAAAACATTAAATACATAAAAAAGTCTTCAAAAAGATCATTCAATAACTTACATTCAACAGGAACCACAATGAAAAAAAAAAATTACCTCCATACATCTTGATATTAACAGAAGCCTTCGATGCAGAATCATTTTTAAAGGCAATACGGGCACTCGGATGAAACAGAGTGAAGCAGCAGTGATGTGTCTTGCAGTCTAGCTTACGGTATATCAACACCATTGGCACAGGCAAGTCCATGCATCTCCTCTTCATTCTTGCTCCTTTGAATACAATTTGGCAGGTCCTATCACCAGGTGATGCCTTGAATGGAAACAAGACAGAAAAGTATTGTTAACAATTCATGACAAACAAGAAATAATAATAATACCATGAACACATTTTTTGCTAATCAAAAACAAAAACAAAAAAATAATAATAAATAATGCTAAGGCCTATTTTTTATTCTTTCCATATCCTAAATTTCAAGCATTCCATTTCATTCAATATTCCAAAATTGTGCTGATCATTAAGGGAATTTAAAGCTTGTGAACATTAATTTTAATATTTCACACTTCATATATAAGTATAAACAAAAAAAAATTTAGCCCTTCATTTCCCACCTTATGGCACGTTGGAGGTTTCCATGCTATTCTCTCATTGTTTTCATTCACTGTGAAAATGTCATAGGACACACGCCGGACTACTTCACGTTCTACAGCTGGACCAAGGGTAAGGGCTTTATACTTGGGTGCTTTTCTCTTCACTTTTGGTGGTGGCAAACTATTTACTACAATTGTGTTAGGCACTTGTGGAGTCAGTCCTGTGCCACTTCTGTTTGTTCCGTCAGATCCACATCTTTCTTGAATTTCAACAAGGTTCTCAACATAGGAGTTATTGCTCATACCCATTGGCAGTGAATATGATCCAAAATTGCTAGGCATAGTTTTCTGTTGTTCGGTTACTTCTGTTCCATTGACTGCTGGAGTAGCATCCTCTTTGCTCGCTGTAAATTAAAATCAAGCATCAATTACATGACTAACACCTATAAGAAATGCAATAATTATCATGCCAGAATAAAGAAATACAATATCAAAATTCATACAACTAAGTGGCAACTAAAAGGCCATACCTTTTGCTCTTTTCTTCGCTCTAAACTTAGCAGCTGCCACTCGTCTTAGGAATTTTCTCCGCTCTGTTCTATCTAACCCAACCAAATCTTCCTCTGAGTATCCTTTTTCCTTGAGACATACTGACTTCTTTAAATGCCTTCTGACATTACTCCCTTCATGAGACCTGTAGCCACAGTGGCCACAGGCAAATAACACATCTCCAAAAACCTCCTTCCCCATTAGCATAACCTGAAACCGAAATAAAAGATGTACATCAAATATATTCCTGCTTCCAACCTCCTATACTAATTGACAGAGGTTGATTCTGACACACCCTAATATTTTTTTCCTTTTTATAGTTAGACTTTCTAAACAAATATTCCAAATAATCATTAGAGGAACATGTTCCTCCCATCTAAAATATGAGGTAAACATGACTCTTTATAATCATTTTGTTATTAAGACTTTGTTTACCTAAAAAGTTTTGAAGTTATACCTCATCTAGTATCACTACAAATTCAGTCTCCCCACTTAACTTTATTGAATCACATATTCCACAGGACTCTCAAATTTAATCTCATGACTCACCTTACGTCCTCCTTTTTTCCTGATACCACGATTAGTAGATTCATGATTTCTAGTAAAAACCCTTAATAAAAATGGCTCCTCTTCTTTAATGGCATATATTCTATGATGGTTCAGGAAATCAGCTGTAAACCATTCTGATATCTGTGCAAGGAATAATATATGGAAATTGAAAAACCAGTTATTCCATACTTATTCCATACTTATTTTTCTTACCAAAGAAAATTTGGGATGATTTATGAACAGTAATCAACACACTTAAAACAATTTGCACTTCTAATTTCTAACCAAAAATACAGAAACTTACTTTTGATGGATTAGTCTTTTCAACTTCATTCTTGCACCCAATATACAAAAGGCCTGGAATTAAACAAAGATTATCTTAATTACTATCAAGGATTAAGTTATCTCCTGTGACAGAATGGACATCTCGTTCATCTAATGACATATTGATATACAGGCAACAGCACCCAAGAAGTGACATATAACACAGTTCACAACTAATAGTTCAGCAGAAAATATGCAGTATGGATTTACTGCATGAGATCTTTGTAACAAAAGAGTAATGTTCACCTGCTAATTTTAAGCATACATATACATACACACTGACCACTGTGGTTATGTTTTATCAATTCTGGTTATAAAGAGATGGTTTAAAAAGTGCTTAGCCACCAAAATTCAATTATACTTCTCAGTTTACCTGACACTACCTATTTAGTCTCCTTCATATTTTCAGGAACATCTTATCTATGTTTATAATTACAGTATTATTGGAAATGCAACCCCACACCTAATTTAAAGAATCTGAGCTTACTAAGTGGTAGAACACATCTTTCTATGAAAATTTTCTTCTTTACCATTTTCTGTCCAAATTGATGATAACTGTTAAAGAGGATATAAAATCCACGATTTCCAGGAGCCATAGTAACTTTACATCTCCAGCACCGCAACAAAATGACAAGAAGTCGTTAAGTTATCGAAAATCGGATGGATTTGTAGCAGACGACGTATGCAAGTTAAATCAAATGAGCCAATCAGATTCGTGTGTGAATGTGACGTGAATACAGACACTCAATAGAACCAATCAGATATGGAATAGATCATCACGTGACAACAGAAGCTGGGCCTAGGGGAAGCCATTTGAAATTCAAATCAGTTCAGTCATGGCTAGACTGTGTAGGTTGTGAGATCAATTATTTCAATTTCACTGCGAAATATTACCGAAATAACAAAGCAAGCTATTATACCTGCGAAATCACAGTGTACTTTCAGTGGAAGTACAATGCCCACACTGTAAGACACCGTGCCATTACAGAAGTGACACACCAGTGGTTTTGTGGTGCATGGAAAAGGGTCCCAAAAACAAAACGAAGAAAGCAGTGTAACTTTACTGTAAGCGATCGCAATTCCCACCAACAATGACCTGTATGACCTTGATGATCCCAGTGCCCCGCAGCCTGTGCCGTCTGGAGTTAATGCTTAAGGTAAGATGTGTTTAAAACTGCTCCTACGTCTGGGCTCTCTCCTGCTGGAACATAGGAGGTGAAGATATTGCAGACCAGGCAGGGGTGGGGGGGCAGCAGCCCCCCTAAAACTGACAGAGACAGTTTCGCCCCCTTATTTACATAAGGGGGTGAAGGAAATGACTGCTAGATTCGTTTGAAGCACAACGAAAGCTATCGGAAAATTATTCTATTCACCCAAAAAACGGTGTGGGGTTATATTTCCAAATTTACCAAAATTGCTGTATATAATAGTTTAATAACACAATATTCAAGCATCAGTGAATGTGTAAAGAAAATTAACAAATCAAACCTATAGTGGATAGTCATGTATCCAGTATCAGGATTGCTCTGCAGTGGGTTATAAACATAGAAAAGTTAAAATTGCAACAGCAGATCACTCACCTCCCGCTTCTTTAAATCCCTCTATGTTAATGATAAGCTTAACTTTATTAGTAAGATCATCATCGAAAGTCTTTGTGGAGTAAGCTTTTTCAGAACTGGCTGGATTGTCTCCATTCTCATTTTCTTTTTCCCCTTCTTCATCACTGACACTCTCAGAGTCAATCGCTAACGCCTTCTCCGTCCCGTGAATTTCCTTCTCGTTTACTATTAGATACACATGGTGCTCGGAATTCACTTTAATTTGTAAAGGTTCTGGAGTCGGAAGTACTGTGACGTCTGGGTTTTTCCCTTCCTCCGTGGGTCTCGGGCACACTAATTCACCCTCGGGATAAGACGGACTATTTATCACTGCATCCTTAGTCCTGTTTAGTTCTGCCATGCCTACAGCGCGGATTGAATAAATGAGAATTATCCCGAAATTCCTAGAAAACGAGATGCCATAAATACGTCCCGCATCGTCTGCTCCTCTTTGTTTGTAAACATTGTTAGCCATCGCGCGTTGGAAATTTGTAAGGAATCCCTTTTCATATTAGCTATCTATTTTTTCTATTTATCTATCTATTGGGGGGCATAATGTAAAATTGTCACAGAAGCAAGTAGTATACGTTTGCCAGCGTTCTTAGAAGTAATATTTTTCAAATGCATACTCTCCGTGCTATTCCGTCATTCTGCTATTAATGATGCAGTTTTTATTTTTATTTTGCATGCCTATCTTTAAATAATTACCTTCAAACAATGTGATCCTGTATATAGATTTTACACGTAGCAATTCTTCCTATCCATTCCTTTACTTCCATTCATTATTTCGTTTTCTGTTACGCCATTTAATTTCACTGATTTTGATTACAAATCATTTCCCGATATGGAGACATGGACAAGTGATTTTCTTATTATCTTATTTCTTCTTCCTCTTCTTCGTTTCTCAAATTCTTGAAATATATTTTGCGGATATCCGTGTTATTTCCAAAGAAGTAAAACATGCACCCCAGAAATATGACATAGTCAAACACAACAAATCCATTCAAATTTTATTATTTTCTCTAATTTTACACCCCCATCCCCCCAAAAGATAACAATAATGGTATCTTCAAAATTGGCACTAAAGGGAAAGCGAGCCACTCGAACTAAAACTACAAGAAGGACAAAAGCATGTTTAGAAGACGACAACCCTCGCAGAATCATGAACCAAGCAGAGATCCGCAAGTTAATTCCTGCCCTTAGAGTGGCGATACAGTCCAGGCATAGGAAATTCCGCAATCCTGATGGTCCCGAAGGTCGATTAAATAAAATGAGATCCACGGTGACAGAGTTAGTGAAGAACGAGAGAATTGAGCTGTATTATAATCGCGCCGATGAAGCTCGGGGATATACCGAGAGGGTGAGGCTTTTTTTTCTTCTGTCTGTCAGTTCTAATGCACTCAGTTTCGTTTTTTTTTCAGAATTTCTACAGAGAAGGAAGTTGTCCATTTTAAGGATTCTACGGTTTATCATTTCTATTTATTGTTTACTGTGTTAATGTTTGGCGATTGTCAAATTTCAGCATCGATTCCAGTGGTAGTTTGCCTTCTGTTTGGTGGTATGTGACTAGGAATTTGTTTATGATGTTAAATTGCAGTTCAGACTTGAATTTAGGGTATTTCTTTCTATATCATCCACAACAGATCACGACAATTTAGGTATCGTTGGATTCCTTTCATCATCTACAATGCAAATCTGGAGGTTTTATTACACAGAGGCAAACCCCACATTCTTAGACCCGATAGCAGGAGAGGGCATGAAAGGTGCCAGGGAAATTGCAGGGTAAAATGTAAATAGTATAGACAGAATCAGCCTCTGTGTTGTTTAATGCAGGGGGCTGTGCCCCTTACAAACCCTCATGAAGGGCTGCCACCCCTAACCCCTGCCCAGGAAAACAAAGAATCCTCTATGTATTCATGGCAGGAGAGAACGTTGAACTGATTTGGCAACGCTGCTCCCACATGGCGTTCGTGCACTTTCTTCTGCCATGAACATGTTGAGGTTTCTTTGCTTTCCTGGGTAGGGGTTGGGGGTAGCAGCTCCCTGTGGGGAGATTGTAGGGGGCACAACCTCATGCATTAGACTATAGTGACTGATTCTGTGTATATTATTCATATTTTACCCTGCAATTTCCCTGGTACCTTTCATACCCTCCCCTGCTATGGAGGCCAAGAATACGGGGGTTTGGGGGGTGTCCGCGCCATAATTTTTGTATATTTGGATACTGTAGAGTGGAAGGAATCCAATTATACTAAACTCATCATGAGCCATTAGGCAGGCATAATAGAAAAAAAAATTACCAAATTTAGAGCAAGGTTAACAGTACATAAAAATTTTAGATTTGTACTTTGCGATTTTTTTTTTTTTTACAGCTGAACACTTCCCAATTTGTGTTAGGCAGTTATCCATTGCTAGAGCTCCAGAAGGATATCATGACAACATGTTTAAGAACTTTTAGATAAAACTTACCTTTATTCTGAGTTGCTAGGTAAATCTAGCAACTCACCCTGGGATCTGGAGTCCAATTCACAAAGGTGTTTTTGAAAAAAAAAAAAAATAAAGTGATGTTAAAGGCAGCAGATTTGAATAGGAAGTACTAAGAATATTCTATATAATATAAAAGATATAGACATGTGTAAGCAAAATTATTAAGAGTAAGTTGATTAGAAGAAAAAAAACACTTGGTAAGTAGGTTTACTAGGTTTAGTGTGTTACCATTTTTTTCTTTTTCCTATTGGAGATAATGTAATATATGTGATCATGAAAAATAAAGTCTCATATTCATTGTGGATATCTTTTAAACATTTTCCCCCACCTCTTGCAGCATATGTGCCACAAATTGAAAATAAAGATTAATTTCTTGCTGGTTCTTTATTTGATGATAAATTACTAAGAAAGTTTTGAGCATGACAGTAGAAAGATAACAGAGGCCACAAATAATCCAGCAGCTTATTGATAATAAAATAAACTGAATAAATTCTTTATTTTCAGTTGGCAATAACTGTATCCTGAGAATTCATTAGTATATGGATTCCACATACTCTTTTTCCTTTATACTATGTGAATACTCTGTACTTTGTACTATGTGTATAGATGTATCTAAATTTGAAATAATAGTAATGTTGTAACTAGGGTTAAGGAGGTGGCAAAAGGATGTGCTGGTTTCTAAAATAGGACTATAGTAGATGTGTTTTATCCAGTTCAACTTGAGTTCATTATGCTCAGAAATGAATGGATCACATTAGATTGCAGCAAGATGCTCAATGCCAAATAATAGATTTCCAGGGAGGTCTAGAAATTCTATTTTGCAAAAACTTTGTGACTTCTATACTGACTGAACAGCAGCTTCTTACAGGCCCCAAAGGAGACCTCTAAATATAAGAGATCCACTTCATTGTTAAATGTATCTAGAGCCTCCATAAGGGTTTCCAGAGAGTTGGATAAGAAAGCAACGTTATCTGCAAAATCTAGTTCTGCCCAGTATCCAGTCCATGCAAGTGATGAAAGGTGTTGGTGCAAGACCATAGCTTTGCCTCACTCCTGAATTCACAAGGTAGCTAGACAGGCTACCACCAAACATTTTCAGTACCAGTATAGGGGCTTGCTATTAATCCAATAATCCTTGTTGGGATTCCCCGTCAATCTTTAGATCTCCTAGAGTAATTCATAATAAACAGTGCCAAACACCTTGAAGTCAAAGTAGGCTGCAGGCAGCCCGTGACCAAACTCATGACGGCGCTTGAATACGGTCTATTGCGGATGCATGAGCCCAGACTATTCCTGCCTCAGCAGTGACCTCTGATACCTCTCAGAAGGATGTGAGCAAAAAACTTGCCTGGTATGCTGAGCAGAGTAATGGCTAGGTTATTGCTACAGTCCCATCGATCCCCTACCCTCTACCTTTCCAAAGAGGGATGGCCACAACAGGTCAGGGGGAATGGGTCTCTGGTATATATGAACCTTTGTATGTGGGTACATGTACTTCCTGTTGTATTTTTGTTTTGACTTTGTTGTCAGCATATGGTTCCACAAGTGTTCAGCCATCAAGGAATTAGGCTAGTTAATAAGTCTAACTTGACCTCACCAGATTTCCCCATTCCTTAAATTTTCAGTACTTATTTTTCTAATGCTATTAATATAAATATTGAAACTTATTTATATTTAGAATGAGATCATTATTATTCACCTTTATTAGAATATAAATCACATTAAAAAATGCAAAATAATTTTCCGAGACAATATCGAACAAGGAGGAAGAAGAGAGCGACTATATCACGATAAAATATAAAGTCGACTCTATATACCACATTGGAATTCTCTTAATGACTTAAACCTACGACCCAGTGCGCGAAGCACATAATGCTATTGTCTGAGACACTATCAGTGAGCTTAAAAACTAAGACCATCAGTGGCTACATTGGCCGCAATGCAATCGCGCACATCCCACTCACACCTATCTTCAAGTGAGAATTCTTTTTCATTCCATTATCCATCATCAAGTTAGGAAGCAACGGAGAGAGTCTGGTACATCACATGACACCTCTCACTCTTGTTTGCTTTCACTATCTTTAAAATTACATAGTAAATATAGATATCTTAATAATATTGCAGTTCCGAAGAGTATTTTCACTGAACTTTATTATCTAAGTGATAAGATCCTAGCGCTTACAAATTAATATAGACTGAATATCTATATCACAAGTAATTATGTTGAGCTGAGGTCGCTTACTCATGCAGAATATGATCTAGATTACAACTGAGTAGAAGTCATTTAGAAAAAACCCTCCATGTATGTACAAGACTGTGAGTACCTAGACTCAAAATACCACCAACAACTCTATGTTAGATCATTTACACAGCCTATACCAGATAGCCAATCTCGCTATTGAAACTCGCCACACTGACCACAAATCGCGCGACCCGCTCGTAGCAAAACCTATTATGCGTTAAGTAGAAAACCAGCATTAGTGTCTACAACCTGATCTATTTAAATTACGTATAAGCTTTCGTGACATTTATGATCTTCTAAATATAAGCTCACCGCGAAAAATATATAGAAATCCCCAATCTCATGATTTATCAAGCTATATAGTATAAAGGCGCACACATTAACTACAGATATGAATTTGTAGTTCTATACTACCATAATATCTCTATAATTAAAATAATCTCTTCCCTATTTCTCTTTTCTTTTAATATGCTCTGTGTCCATAATAGAACAACATGCTCCGTCATCGCACACTACCACGACAGCAGTTATCTTATTAATGTGTATTTGTGTTATAGTTTATTTAGTTCTCTTATCTTGGTGCAGCTCATGTGTATACATAGTGACAACATTTTGACTTATGCACAATGCGTCAATTACTGCTCTCTTTCAAAAATGTGTGAGCGATCCTAGTATACATAGTCTTATGATGACCAGACATTAGAGCCAATTCACCTACAACTGCCTATACCCCATCGACACT